GTGGGTATACATATATATATATATATAAGGAGTCGGTGAAAATAAAGGAGAGCGCAGAAAGGAGGAAGAAACTGCAGGAAGATGGATATCGTCATTAATAATGCACTCGGACAGAATCCTAAGTGCAGCAATAACGCTAAGAGTAACGTGGCAGGGACGATGCACGAGGAAGAAGAAACCATAATGCGAAAATTTATTCGCGCGCGAAACCTGAATTCACCCCGGGTTCAATCTATCGAACGGAATGCCGAGAGATAGCGCATAGCGCAGTTGCATCGGAGATGCAACAAGACTAAACACACACAGTTATATAATAAGAAAGGAAGAAGCCTGCCCATTCAATGGAATGAATCTAATTCTGACAATGAATCCGAGCGAACCTAATTGCGTCGCTGCACCTGAGCAAGACAGATCCGACGAGTGCATCCATGCACCAGTGTCGCGTCTGAGAATGAATTTAAGCTTGGCAAAGTGCACTCTACCCGAAAAGTGCATCAGATTTCGGCGTTATTTATCATCGAAAAATTCCTTCCCTCCTTCTTCGTATAATTTAATAACTATATCCGACCATATGTGCCTGCCTGACCGAGATGCACTCGTCTTTGGATTTTATTGTCGAGGAGCTAAGAGGGACGAAAGTGCAGTCCGATGCACTTTCGGGCTGAGAAGCTGCACCGGCGCGCACCGCCATCGGGCGCCGTAGCCTCCTGCACCTTCCTGCCGGCAAAGATAGAACGGGCAAATTATAAATTAGCGGACAATAAGAACAGGCGGAATCCCTCGAATGCACCGAGACCCGCCGGGCCGCTCATGGCGGTAAGAGGCAACGACCTGACAATTTTACTCGCCCGCATAACTCGGTACCCCGTGGACCACACGTGTTCCAGGAAGTGCAACACCCGGAGGACGATAATAGTAATGCGCGGAGGTAAAGATCCTATTGCGCCTTCGTGTGGCGGAGCTGCTGGCCTACATACGAAAATTGCACTGCCCTAACGCTCGGACGAGTTTGACAATTTTTCGATATTTTATTCAACAGTCCCTCGATCTACCGGGTGTCTTATACGTGACTTTTCGTCGATACGAAGTTGCCAATAATTTTTATAAAATTTATTACGCAACGCGGTTCGCCGTGTTATTTCGAGAACGAGAAACTTTGAGTATCGTTTCACGAGCTTACGGAGAATCGTTTCAAGGGAGACGAAGACGCGTGCCTGTGTAAACGGCACAAGTCGTGCGTAACAGACTCGAGAGTTGGTCGACCACTGGAAATTCGTAAAAGACGCCTTTTAATTATTATCGAGCCGCGACGCTCATTGAGGATTCCTATGTGTTTCTTTGGGAAGGGTCGAGGCATCGGAGGAATTCAATGGCGTCGCGATCCCCCCGACTGTTGGTATAGTGGAAATAAAATAAACGTCAGCTAGGCGGGAGCGAGGAGACTCGAGCTGCCAAGTGCGCAGTTCTTGAAATAACCGAGCGATTATGCATCGCGGCTATCCGCATTTCCAAACCCATTGGAATTCACGTAATAGCGTTGCGCGACAACGCGAATCGTCCCCCTTGTTCCGGAAATCGAAAATGTGGAGTAAAGAAAAAAAAAAAAAAAAAAAAAAAAATTATCCAAGCAAGTAAAGGCCTCGTGACGGAGAAGCTCGAAAAAAAAAAAAAAAAAAAAAAAAAAAAAAATTATCCAAGCAAGTAAAGGCCTCGTGACGGAGAAGCTCGTTCCCGATGCCCCGAGGAAGAAAGGTTCCCGGTCCTGAGACCTTCAAGACCAAGTCTTGGGTACGTCTGCAGAAGGTGCCTGACGCTCGAACGGGACGCCAAGCATCGTCACAGCAACGCCGTCCATTGGTTGGCCAGCCATACGGGAGAATGCATTGTTTCCCTAGTAAAGCATAAGTACGTGCGTACATCGGATATATCGGGTGGCGTTTGGCTCCGTTCCAGACGACCATTGAGGTCGTCTAATATTTGTAAAATACCATTTCAGCGATCTTGCCGAGCACACGGCAGAGATCAATTCTCTCCAGCATCCCTCGGACGTGATTCGGTGACGAGGGATAAAATTTAAGCAATTAAATAATAAAAAAGATAAATTTAATTTACCTTTCAATATATATTGCCCTGTTAATATATTTTTATCAGAGTGCTGTCCATCGATCAGGGTTATGATTTAATGGGTCTTCGAGTACAATACTTTCTTTTTTGCCAAGAATAAAGACATTTTTCAATTCACGGTTCGTGAACCACCGTGACTCACGCGACCGTGTCGAACAGAAGGAAAACAGATACTTGACGCGATCTACGCGTGCTTCGTTGTACCTTGTATTATCTGTATGCTAATGTTCCTATGTACGTAGGAATGCATGTCCAAATGTACTAGCGGCTGTTATAATATACTGTGACCATATTTTTACGGCCCCTTCGAATTCTCCGATTACGAGCGAATTCCGCGAGCATCCATTCACTTATTTTGGAGAAACGCCAGACGGGAGATTCCGCGCGGCGACGGATCCAGCGAGCTACCAGGAATTCGTGATTTTATAGTTTCATGTTTTTTTTTTCTTTCTTTCTTTTTTATGTAAATAATATACATTCCGACGAGCACGCATAACTGCATAAAGTTAACTCGGACAGTTGAATTCTTTGATTTTCCATCGTTTGACGATATTCCTGAAAATCCTTCAAACATATCTCTTTGTATTTCGTGAATTTCGAAATTTCGAAAATTTTTAATATCAATGCACTCCTGTATTATCGCGAAATCTCAAAAACGCTAAAAAGTAAGGAACGTTCGGAGAAATGCATTCGTAAGGCAGCCGAGTCGATAAAGGATCTTAAATCCTGCTATTTGGGTCACCGACATCTCTGTCTCTCTCGTACGCACGCGCGCGCCCATAAGACTGTCTCACTCGCGCTCGCAGCGGTCATAGGAAACTTCGAAATCTTAAGGACCCAAGAGGGGGCCTCCCGACCCCACTCCGATCGGTCGATCAGATTGGCATTTTGCCAAAAGACATAAAGTCTCTTATACTTTTTGGCTGTCAATTTTTGTGTATCAAGCATTATATCAAAATATCGATGACATGACAGCTGTCAAATCCAGCCAGACCGTCCCTACCTTTGTACAATCGCAATCGAAAATAACAATTATTTGTTCGCCTTTGACTACGTGCATGACGCGAGCACGTATTTATTTGTATGTAAGCAATTGCAACGTAACGAGACACTCGCTGCAATCGTATAATACAATTTCAATCAGTTTCGACATTGGCATGTCGACGAATCGATTACGTAAAAAAGAAAAAAAGTGCTTACGAGAGTGCAAAAGTCCAACTCAAAACTATTTAAGTTTGAAAGTAAAATCGGAAGTGGGTCGAATGTGGAATTCTAGTACAGTCTATACTTTGAGTGCTTTTCGAGGACGATTGTAAAAATACTTCCTGAGAATACACCGAGGCACGTGGCATTTAGCGTTTGGCTGATTCCTTATAGGTGCCACGAGACGCGAGGATCGACTAACATATTTAAACCACTGTCCTCCGATAACATTGAAAATGGAAGTGCGTAGAAATAAAAAATCACAAAAATTCGACAATTCTAGGAAAAACCATATTTTAAAAAAAAAAAAAAAAAAAAAAAAAAAAAACTTTTCAACGATCCATCAACTCCTACCGCAGTGCGATAACAGTCTCTTCGTATAATATATTCCTTCGTAGAACAATTACTGCTCGCAGTAACGGTAGTTTCGGTCTGGTTAAAGGCATCCATCGGTATCTAGGCAGGTCGGAAACCGTATAAAATATTTAATGCCATTAGTACTTCGTCCTAAGTCAGCTATTTCCCTACATAACACCCAAAGGCATACCCCTAAGGTGCAACAAGAAAGCAGAGAAACGTCATCGAAAAATTCCAGCAGCCAGAGATACGCACCCGTTATCATTATCTATATCCCAAGTCGAAAACGTGAAGATTAACAAAAAAAAAAAAATTCCACCACAAATTCCATTCGTCAAATTCCTTCGAACGTTCATCGCGCAGAAGTACGTATATATATAGCGTGGCGTGCACAGTCAAAGAAACAAAGCAGATTCTCGCCAAGAGACTCATGCAGAATCATTCCGTATGATGACTGGAGCTTCTAGAATCGTCAAGTCACACGTTACGTTTCGACGACCAGCATTGACAAAGAGAAAAAAAATCACGTCACGTCACGTGCATAAATACATGTACGGATATGCACACGAATTAAATGTTCAAACCTGTCATTTTCAGACATCCACTTAAACTCATCCACGTCCAAACAGATATACGACCGAGGACGGGCATCGTCGACACACTCGATACAGTCTATCGGAAGACAGCGAAAAAGAATGCCACAACGGCAATTCATACTTCGCGCCAACTTTGAGTATTCCGAGGCACGAAGTATGGCGTTATGGGACGAGACAGTTGGTTAGCGCGAATCAAAATGGATTCCGCCATTGCATTTCACACCTTTAATGGTAACGTTAATGCTCCTACCCGACAGCCCGTACGTACGAGCGTTCATGCTCAGGGAAACATAACTGCCAGTGTTCTCTGTTCTTTGTGCGCGATACTGCGCGACAGCGTAGTGCATGCTGGGTAACGACGGTGAATTTCCACGAAAGCACGTGCAACGTATTTATCACGGTCCCGTGGTAGGGATCGACGACAGACGTTGCTGCTCGGTCGGTTATGTTCTCCCGGTATCCTTCTTCCTCCTTTGTCCGTCAAGGACGCGACAGAGAGAGAGAGAGAGAGAGAGAACAGATGAAACGTCGATTTCCAAGTGCTTCCCGTGAACTACATCGCAGCGGACTAGATCGTGCGAACACGTTGAAACCCGTAATGGTCTGCAGGAATAAGACTCGTCCGGTAGACAGCTACGTTGGGATAATTGCGAATGACTTTTAATACAGCTAAACTGCTGGTATATGCATTTCCAGTGACTCCACAGTGACAATACAGGTAAAATTGTCACGATATGCATCGCTCTACGGATTGCGTAACAGCTAAGCACGTGGCGAAACGAATTCGTACGAGAATTTATGTTTACAAATTCGTTGACTTTTCATACAGAGCATAGAGCTTGAATAAGCACATTTGCAATTACAACACAACACACGCGTGACACCGTTAAGACTCGAGCTCTGGTTGCACTTGGTATTTAAAGTGGTAAATAAAATTTCGTCGTTAAAATGACGCAACGACGAATCTCAGCTCGATTTAAGTAAATCGAAAGAGGCATCGGCCAAACTCGTCCCTGAGAACCACTGCAAGAGGATACGGGCCACATGGTCCGTGCATGACGTCAGCCTGACTGCAGCGAACTTCAAAAAAAAAAACGACCAAGCTCCTCCGGGGTTCTTGGTACGGCCGAATGACTAACCTCGAAAATATTGTTGTAGACCGCGAAAGTGATCGTTTGTGCTTTTTAAGAAATCGCCGAGACGCCGTAACGATTCCCTTAAGCTCGAGGCAAGCCAGGCTGCCGACTGGTATACACGTAGGGTAGGATAGGGATCGGTGTCGTAAAGTATAAGCAACGTTAATTGTGACTACGAGCGAGGAAGGATGGACACCGTGACAACTGGATTATACGTATAAATAAAGCAGCAGGGAAAATCTCGAGGCTGAACGACAGAAAGGATATAAATTTACGATTAAGGTAAAAGTATTTTAATTACAGCGTATCCTATACCTATTGAGCGATCGGTAACCCGCAGGGAATTCGTATTACGAATTTCGTTCGAGCCGCGAGTAAAATCGCGTTGCAGCTACGGAAAATCATTCCTGTCGTAAGAGCCTCGTTGGGATTGCTAGCGCAATTAGAATATATTATTAATACTTACCGATCACCGATAATCCTACTCGATTGTATCGTATTGTTGGACCGCGACGTGTAATATCGTGTTCCGCTCGCGGTATCACGTTTTACATTGTTCCATTGGCGTAATTCTTCGGTTAGGAAGGCAACAGTCATATTTCATCGGGATTTCTACAGCGCGCCCTTAAGTCTCTTCGCTAGAAATACGTCTGAAGTTCCTTGGCGCTGCACAAAGCACGTGGGGCATTGCTTCGTCAGTGCTATCGGCGAGCGAGTGAAATTCACCCGATCGAATCTAACCGTAATAGCAATAAAGGGAGCCTAGACTCTTGGCGAGTATCCGATCCGGTCTACGCGATAATAAGTCGGCAACGTCTCCCGGTCTTAAAGTCGAACGATCGACTGATCGTAACGATATTCTAAATCGTTTCCTCCTTTCAAATACGATCGTTCCACTTCGCGGAGCCAATTGTTCGGAATAACGAAATAACATTCGTATTCGTATACATATATAGCTGTATGTACGGATCGATATTATAGATCGAAATAGATAATTAATTGCGGGCATAAATAAATTTCGATATTCTTTTGTCCCTTTTCGAGAATGTCTGATTACGTTATATATTTTTTTTTTTCGCCTCACGAGCACACCTGGGTAATGTAATGGCAGTGATAACAATACTTTCTCTTGAATTTTCATTCTCCCTAGCTGCAATACTTCCACGTACTTATGTGCCTAATTCGTTTCGTTAGAACAAGAGCCACGGCTGTTATCCTTTGGTTGTTTCGTTTCAAAACAAAACTGGACGCTCATTGTGTTCTGTATTATTTATTACGTCTTTATATTGGGTTCGTGTCTTCGTTTTATTCGCTCTGAGACAGCCAGATATTCATGTGCATTTATGCAGTGACGTATATACAGGGTGGGGCATTTATAGTGACCAGGTCGATTTTTTCGCAAACGAAGTCAGATATAAAAAATATGTTTTTGAAAGAAATTCATCAAGGGCGACGAAAAATTTCGTTATTGTATTTCTTCCCGAGTGTAGGCGTTAAGGTAATTCGAAAGTGAACTTTTATTTTTTTTTTTTCAATGGGACGATGCAATTTTTTTTCCGGAAATCAAAAGGGCATTCAATTTTGAGTTAAAAAGTACAAGTACACTAATCACCCAAAATTGACGCCTGTCAATATATCTGGCTTCGATTCCGATAAAATTGACCTGGTCACTATAAATGCCCCACCCTGTATATACGTCTGTCTGACTGAAGATCAGAGATTCTCAGCCACCAAGATGAATTCCGTCCAAACTGTAAATTAATGAACGTTATGGAAATTAAATTTTTTTTTTTTCTAGTCACTATGTCAAACTTTCAGTCCCTTAAATATTCCGTTATGATCCAGGAAGATCAAATTGTCGATCGTACGTTAATTCTCGAATACTAAGGACTCCCAACACCAGAGTCAAAATTAAGCTAGCGATTTCGGTCGACGTTATAGAATATTTTGGTCCGCGTGATTTCACGAAACTTACGAAATTTGACTTTGCACACGAGTCTGCTCTTACTTACGTACGTAGGTACGTGGGTTTATTACTGTTGCGTTATTATTAACATTGAAGCTGATGAATAAGCACGAGATGAAACGATCATTATTTATTCCACGAAAACAGTCGCTAGATACGACGTTATTGAACTTGGAGAAAATTTTCTTTTTTTCAATATTAAGTTGGTATCATTTAAAAATTAATAATTCTATAGTCGATTCATTTCAAAAGAACGAAATATTAGACAACGCATACTGCCATATGGTATTTGATACAATATTATGATTATTTCGATTACTTGGAGTCTGTGAAGAAATTCCAGACACGTGCATCAAGTATCTAAATTATTGGATCTTTCAACAGAGCAACTTTTTAACACAGACTTGAATATTTCAAGGAACTATAGATCAACATGCTGCGATGTAGCTCAGATTAAGCTGTGAGAAAATAAAATTCAAACTGGCGGGGTGGACCGAGAAAGAAGCAAGTGTGCGACAAGGAGCGGTAGACGATTGAGGTCATAGGGCTCGAAAATAGACATAGTGAGAGAGATAGAGTGAAAGGATAGGTGAGAAAGAGGGAGACGAGAGAGAGAATAGGTGAGAGAGAGAGAGAGAGAGACGGAGAGAGAAAGCGAGAGAATGGGTGACACGGTATTCTCTCAGTTGTTGCTAGGTCTATTCTTGACCAGATCCAAATAAAACACGTAAAAGAATTATCTGTTTGGCAAAAATAAAATAATTTCGAGCAAAAAGTCTAATTTACATTATTTTTGCAATTAAAAAAAAAATATTTTTTATAAACAGTCATTTTTTATTTCAACTAGCAGACTAGCTTCATTTCATTGGTAAACTGGAGAAATCAATTGTTACGTTACTTTTATCAAAATTATCAAAAATTATTTAGGCACAAACCAATTGTCACTTGGTGCTTGAACAGGCTAAAATTTTACTAAAAATTTATCAATAAAATCGTTCAAACTTTCTGTATTAAAGAAAAAACCTTTACTCGCGCTGGTAAATATTTGACCACGTTCTATGTAATTTGTTTGGTCACTCTTCTACTGTGTTGACTTTATCGTATACCTTAAACAGTAATGCCAACATTTATTCCTTTACGTTAATATTAAATGCAGTTAAAATGTCCAAGACAATTCTACAAACTACCTTTTACTTTTCCTTTCATCTCCATCCTATAATATCTAATGGCGTTTCACACTTCATGCTCCAACAATAGGTTAACCCGTCACGTTCAGCTGGTACAATAACAAGGGTTAAATGAGCGTGGCGACTCATCACTGACTGTATGACACATGGACTAACTTTTATTTTTCAAATCGTTTTCATTAATAATCACTAAAGCATCCAACTATACACTAACCGTCTCTAATGACACATTTCCAAATAAAAAATATATAATTTCATAAATTGAGCAAACAAATTTCTTCCCATTTCCTATCTCCTTTATACTACCATGCTCCATCACTGTACCGCGTTTCGCTCTGTCTGCACGCACTTCACTCATTATTCCAGATTCAAATATTAAATAGTATCGGTAGTAAAAATAAATTTTTTTAAATTAACGAAATTTTTTACGCATTAAAAAAATCATATGGAAGCCTTTCTATTAGATGGAACAGGAATAAAAATAATTAAAGGAAAGGGAGTCTTTACATTGTCCAGTGTAATAGTCATTGTTGGATTTGGTATAGGTTTCGCAAGTAACGTACATGCATATAGATAAAAGGCATACCATACGAAATAGTATATAGTGTCTAGATTACATATAGACCATATAAGACTATGTGTAAGCCCGTTAGGCGTGGGTGTGGTCTCGCTGAATATATAAAGCGCACTCGTGCTAAGAGACTCGTGAATTCCCAGGCAGTCGTGCAGCTAGAGAAACGTATCATATACTATATAGATATACTATAAATTCACGGTGTACTACTATCGTACGGTAGAAGTTCACTTTGAAGATACAAGAGGCACATACAGTATCTGCTGTCTGATACGAACTCAGTTTCGCCATTAGAACGAATCCGTAGTTAAGTAGTGAAGTTTAGTAAGCAGCTAGACATTTCTACTTTGGTTTGAAGCTGCGTTTGCTATTATTCTGTACAGAAATAAAATTTGAAAAACTTATATTGTTTTGTTATATGAATATCATAATAAATAAGGACGTTTTGAATATTTATATTATATATCTTTCTGTGTTTGCTTTTGGGGATTGTATGCGGTGGCTCAGAATGTACGTAGGAAATCTTTTTACCACGCAAACGTCAAACGACGAAGACAGTCCTTTATCTTATCTTGTTGATTCCACAAACCGGAAGTAGAAGCGGTTGGTTTTCTTGGGAGCAGGAATTTTAAACAAAAGCTCTGTGATTTTAGGTAAGGATCAATAAAAATTTAAGCATCTGTACGATACGGTTATTTTTGAAAATGTAAATTATCAGAGTCCTAATATGTAAAATGATGTTTTATCTATTGAAAGTAATTATTGATAAAAAAGTAAAGAGATTACTTAGAATTTGTTGTTAGGAATTTTTTGGATGGCAATAATCAGCCTTGAGAAATTACGTTTTAAATTTAAGTTAAAAATATTTAAAATACAAAGTTTATGAACTGCATCATAATTTTTCATAACGGATATTGTTTATTGATGAATTTACAGAAAGTATCGCGTCATCCATCGGTGTACAGGAATATGGATTAAACGAAGAAGAAAAGAACTGATCAATTTTTTTTTAAGAAGGAACCGCAATGTTACTCGGGGAAAATGATTAATTAATACTAAATGATGTCATAGGAAATAAGGTTTCTTATATTAGTCACCATTTGGGCGAACGAGGGAAGCAAATTTACGTTTTTTTATGGAAACGACCTGGTTACACCCTAGACGGCTATCGTACATGGGATAATGCTTTCAGCCTGGTTAGTAGTTCAAACTTGAACTTGACTGCAGCCGAGAAAAGAGATTGCACATGCTCATGTGAACGCGCCTTCCTTAGTGTTATATTGAAAATCAATAGTCTGGAATTTTGTTGATTTGAGGAATTTATAGTACAAGGCTTATCTTTGTTGTTTCCAGTAGATAACAAAAGACAGAAGCGGCGATAACGACAAAGAACGTATATTGCGTTATATTAATACAGGAATTTGGACAAGTTCGACTGGTCGATTAAAGAAACGAAAATATGTTTAGCAGCTGATTGGATAAGTTAGTAGATTAATTTTAGAAAGATTAAATATATCAGTAAAGAGTTGCCTTCTAACGAACCGCACGTTATCGATTCGATTATAAACAGCCAAGAGTCACAAGTAGCTTTTGTGTCCGCCTTATTATAAACCGTTTCAAGTTTGCCAAGTAAATATTAGGTTAATTTGAAATTTTCTCAAGAGTACCATACAGCTCAAGTGTTATTCGTATTGATTTATAATTCGAAGGAGACGAGAGGTTTACGATATTTAAAAGCCCTCGCTATGCCGATCAGTTCCCAAAAGTATTTTCAAGCCTGATCTTTATTTAGCGCAGCGTGGAATCTCGCAGAAAAACATGTACAAAATAAATACTGAAAATTCGAGTCAACGTTCTGATGAATCATTGTCTAAAAAATAATTATATATTTTCAACGAATCCGATTCATCGTAGAGAAATAGCTTGGAGCGAGTCAACCTCAAAAATAAGTACTTCGGAAGAAATATTTTTTGCAATTATTAAAACAAAGCAATCTACATTTTATCCTCTCATCGATATAACAGCCAGTCGACTAATTTTCCAAAATTAACTAATACCTTTAAAGAGTGAGTACCGAAAATTCAAATTTCTATATCCAGTACTTTGACGTAGAAGTCAAACCGTCGGTTAAACGACATTCTAGAAAAACACAAAAGAAAGTCTCGTGAACGCCCGAACGACAAGTGTCAGGGTGACGACGAGAACGAATGTACACAAAAGCAATAATAACGAAGGATGAAAATGAGAAGATATAGTAGGAGATGTAGCCGTGATGCCGGGAAGAAATCAATGCCAGCGTCTGGCCATGGCGAAGCAAATGCCGGCTCAAAATCTCCCATATACGATTACTCAAATGACAAATAGTAATACAACAAGCACTAAAATCCATAAATGTACTCACGTAATAAAAAATAAAGGTCTCAGTGAACTCTCTTGTTGGCTTCCACCTACAATTCTTTGTATTTTCTTCTTGTATTTTCAACCTCCTTTTCTTCTATTCAGTCTCCCTTTTGATGCCTCGATCAGAAATACACTATCAAATGAAACGTAACACACCGTAATTTCGCGGACCTTCTTTTTCCAATACTTTTAACACTATGTTCCAAGACACCGCGAGATACTGCAAGTAGTTACGAATAGAAGAATCGTATATCGAAAGTGGACGAGAAGAAGGTAACCACCAGTCCGCTATTACGGATGCCCGAAGCCTGACTGAGGCACCAGCCCCGAGCCACACAGATCCGCCCAGTGCGATGCTGCCACATACCGGGTGTCGGCGAAACACGCATTCCCGTTCGTTTTCGACCCTGTTTTACTGCAGCATTCAGATCATACGTATGTTTTCGCAGTATGATACAATTAAGACGGTTGATCGTTTTTCGTAAATGCATTTGAATTTTTAAACCGTTATTTATTATCTTCTGATCTACTTAGGTCACGTAGTATAGACGCGTATAGTACGGATAATGGATGATCTTTATGCTACCGATAGACACTGATCACCCGTGCTTACTTAGTTCACTATGTACCTACGTTACGGATCTTCTAGCCTTTGACGTTTCTGACGATGGCTTTTCCGCACGTAGCGCACGTGACGACGGATAGGGTTTCGCACGACTTATTTAAATGGCGCGTATGTGCTTCGCTGCTTCGAGAATCTATACGATGCCAAAGATTCGTTTGGTCTTTCTTTGCTGCTCCTTTTAATTAGGATTTCGTGATCAGTTTTGGGATTGTTGCTGGTAGTTGTAGTGATTTTAATGGTTGAGGAGAATTTTTTAGACGGGAGATATTTCAAGGGGGATTCTGAATGTTTTGTTAGAAATGGTATTTTTAGGAATTTTGTATGTATTATAGTGCAAATAGTTCGTTAGTGGGGAGACGTCTTAATATAGATCGTGTAATATTTTCTGTTATTATTTTGTAAAAACTTTTAGTATCGTAGACAAAAGACATTAAGGTTTCAGTAATATTTTTTGGAATGAACGGTGCTTATTGAATTTATTGAAAAACTCGTTCTGCATACTCTGTGGAGCTTTTTTCATCGAATTGAACGTAATTAGAGTCGTAGATGGAGCAGTAGATAAATTTGATCTAGTATGGAATTGATTTACTACATATAAAATCGTGGGTATTTTGCTTTTAAACCTATACGATTTCTACCATTGATCTAAACATTCAGTTTAGAATTAATGAATTTTTTATTAAAGAAAACGTGTCAATTTCACCCGGTAAGTTTTGAATAATAGTTTACAAAAAATTCGCTCCCATGTTGCACCCCTGGTAAACCGAACCTGACAACCAGTCCCATATAAGGATAGCATCAAACTATTTTCAGTGTCGAGCTTATCCAAGCTTCGTCGGTAACGCGGTGATTCGATTTTTACGCAACTACTTTCCGTGGAGACATCTTTGAATCATGAACTAAGCAGTATTTTAACATTTATCATTGCTGTATCGACCGGCACTAAACCCAATGGAAGATAACTAACCCAGGCATTACCGTCTGTCGGTGCGGCTCGAATCTGACATATTGACAAATTATCAAGAAGACTGCTATCTGTGACCTGAAGAAGCACCTACTATTTCGATACATTCGAAAAGCATTGGCCGGTCGTATACGAGATTCATGAGAACAATTAGGGAATACGAGTCCGGTTAGATAAATCCGTTTCATTGGATTTTGGCCTTTTAGATTATAAAATTAATTTACAGCCAAAGATTAGGTACAATTCAGCTGCTGTTTTGTGCTCATTCCTTGAATATAGTACCTAGAAATCACTTAAAAATTTTATTCATTTACTGAAAGTTAGTACGAATACACTATAAACCCAGATAGTACGTTAGACACATTGGTAGCGGCGCCACCGCTTGATAAATCTCAGACAGAAATGAGTAGGGAGATGCACAATGCTACGCAGAGATGAATAGGGAGATGCACAGCGCTAAGGTTTCAGGCGATACCAAAAGCATGGCACTGAATCGCAGCTGCGAGTCCGGAAGTCGAGTTTTGTGACCAAAGCCTCCGTCGATAATGCGGATTTCGTCGTAGCCGAGCTGACCGCGATCACGAACCTGTATCTTGCCGGACAGAGGTCCTCTGCTACTTATCGCTGGTTCCCAAAGCAACACTTAGAACGAGACCGGGAACTATAGAACTTCTCAAGAACTATTGAAAAAGCCTATTGTTGAATCATTTTTAAGAGATTTTTAAAAAAGTGCGGTGCTGACACCCGTGTAGCACCTCAATTTTTGTAAAATTCCTATTTTGACTATGTTACGTAGCAGAACAATTGTTAAAACCTATCAGGAACTATAGAACTCCTCGAGAACTATTGAAAAAGCCTATTGTTGAATCATTTTTAAGATTTTTAAAAAAGTGCGGTGCTGACACCCGTGTAGCACCTCAATTTTTGTAAAATTCCTATTTTGACTATGTTACGTAGCAGAACTATTGTTAAAACCTATCAGGAACTATAGAACTCCTCGAGAACTATTGAAAAAGCCTATTGTTGAATCATTTTTAAGATTTTTAAAAAAGTGCGGTGCTGACACCCGTGTAGCACCTCAATTTTTGTAAAATTCCTATTTTGACTATGTTACGTAGCAGAACTATTGTTAAAACCTATCAGGAACTATAGAACTCCTCGAGAACTATTGAAAAAGCCTATTGTTGAATCATTTTTAAGATTTTTAAAAAAGTGCGGTGCTGACACCCGTGTAGCACCTCAATTTTTGTAAAATTCCTATTTTGACTATGTTACGTAGCAGAACTATTGTTAAAACCTATCAGGAACTATAGAACTCCTCGAGAACTATTGAAAAAGCCTATTGTTGAATCATTTTTAAGATTTTTAAAAAAGTGCGGTGCTGACACCCGTGTAGCACCTCAATTTTTGTAAAATTCCTATTTTGACTATGTTACGTAGCAGAACTATTGTTAAAACCTATCAGGAACTATAGAACTCCTCGAGAACTATTGAAAAAGCCTATTGTTGAATCATTTTTAAGATTTTTAAAAAAGTGCGGTGCTGACACCCGTGTAGCACCTCAATTTTTGGAAAATTCCTATTTTAACGATGTTACGTAGCAGAATTATTGTAGAAACGTATCAGGAACTACAGAACTCCTTGAGAACTATTGAAGAAGCCTATTGTTGAAACAGTTTTGAGAAATTGCGGTGTGAATTTTACATTGAGATTGCAAAGAAATGTTTATGCAGTATGTGATGAGCGTCATTGTTCTAAGGGTTGCTGTAGGAACCAGCGCTGAGTAGCGGAGAACCTCTGCCTGCCAAGCTACATGTTCCTGGTCACGTGCAGGTCGGCTACGACGGGATACACATTATCGACGGAGGCGATAGTTACAAAATCCTACTTCCAGACTCGCCGCTACGATTTAGCTCCATGATTTTGGTATTGCCTAAAGCCGTAGCGTGGTGCAACTCCTTACTCATCTCTGTAAAATATCTGACCGTCGGTATATTTGACTCGTGCGATACCGAAGCACACGGGAACGCCTACAGTCTATTTATCGTCAATCGAAATTTTCATTTTGACTCGAGAGTTTCTGCTGCACCGAAATCGAATTGATTGAGACACAATTGTTAAGAAGGATAAACTTAGCCATAGAGAATCCTAAGAGTTATAAAGACCCGCTCGTAAATTTCCTTCAAGACTCGTTAAGATGCCCTTTACTGAGGTTCCGAAGTGAAACTATGATTCAACCTGGCGTTTACGAGAAACAGTCGTTTAAAATCTTAAGTCCAAGTAAATCATGGGAACTCATAAAAGCCACAAGTCCACCAGTTGGGTAAGTCTGTCAAATGCTACAATTTCTCGTTCTAACCAATGAAAGAGACAGTGAATCCCTCGTTATTGAAAATGAGAAAACTCTGTACAAAGGAATGACAGTTCGCTGCGGCATTGACAAGATTGAAAAGCACATTAAAGTTCAACAGCGAGGCCGAAGATCGTAACTTGATTTCGAGTAATCCAATATGCGAGAACGTTACTGCCTTTCATTGCATTTGTGTTCACCAATTGTTGCAGTAAACAATGAAAATTTACGATGCGCTCTAGCTACGAGGGAATGAATTTTTATCTCTAATAAATTGCGTACCGATAAAAAGCTCGAACAATAAACTAACGCAAAGCTTTTGCCCCTCTTGGTATCAACCCTTATCCGAATAGTGACTAGCACAGGTAACTTGATGCTTGATAATTTCCAAAGTACTATTGAGCTTACGTTCCAAAGTAACATTATTTCTTCTGGCCTAGACTTCTATTTAAATTCCATCCTTAGGCTTACGATCGAACGATACACTTCCTGTTGCGTCCTAAGTGGAAACCTGCAACGCATCTGAGCAGGGGGATGCTGATTTGTATTCACGAGATCAAGTCCACGTGTAAAAACCTTTTTCCGCCAAATCGAAGTAAGCCGCTTTAACTAGAAGAGTTCGCTGCCATATTGAAAATTATATAAAATTCCTTTATGTGTATTTATAATAACCTAACCTCAATGTGAAATATATCAAGCGTATTAGCGGGACATAATCGTTGATCAAGTAACGAGGTAGCAATATAATGAAATAATTGGTGCAGGAGTAATTAGAACGAGGGATAATCTCTAAATTAAAAATCATCCCCTCTTACCATCGTATCGCACAGAAACAGATAATAACAGTTCCACAAGATGACAAGGAATCGGTGGACCTCGGTTTGATTCTTCAACCGTAAAATGTCCCTCCTATATGTTAATAAGAATACGTTGTACAGAGTGGAAAGGTACATTATCTCATTTCCCAAGGGTTGAAAATTCATTACTATTTACCCAGGTCTCTTGTACAACGAATGGAATGCTTATTACAAAATAATTGAGCTAATTAGTCTATTATGTCTATATATATTTATATAGTATTAACACCGATAGCAAAGCCTCGTTATTGACTTTTCCAATTATATTTCCAAGAATATCCAAGCAAACTGCAACTTTATTATATGCAATATAAAATTCAATGCTGATAGTATTACTCGTCATTTCTGAAAAGATTCTTCATAATGGCTGCCGATGTATGAGAAAAGATTGGACTGAGATGCAATTCCTTTTTCCTATTGCAATAAAGTAACTTTACGATATTCTCTGCAGCCTTCTGTATCCGCTATTCGATACGAAGAAATTACATTCTACACAGTTACAGGCACTTATAAGCATTGGACAATAATGCCACCCCCTATGGTCACCCTACAATTTACGTTTATGAGAATGAAAAGTACGACTGCATGGTAGAACATGGGACTGCGCATCCAACCCTTAAGAAAAACATATTTTCCCACCGAAGTATGTTCGACATGAAAATATTTTTATTCCGAGCTTGACTTCCCTCTGTATGCAGAAAGAAAATGCATCCGCATGCTGGCGCCAGAGAAAAGTTATCTCGTGAACCTGCAAGAAAACGAATGGGACGGGAATTGCAGAATTTTTTTGCAGTTCTCACGTAATAGTCATAAATTGTAAGAAAAATGGTGGTAATTTTTTTTTTTACATACTATTAATACGGCACTACATGATTTTTTAAAGCGGGGTTAAAATTTGTTTTTGAATATTAATTTTTTTTCTCCCGTGAATAGGTATTCTTCACCGTGGAAATTCATGATGGATTTTTACCAGGATAGTGCGTGAAAATGGATTTAAGTCGCATCCAAGTCGAGGACACGAAAATGAAGAGCTTTCTTGATGGAGTGGAAACAAGTTCCGTAGTATCCAAGATGGAGGGTAAAAAGTGTTTTGCTCAGCGAGACACTTCTCAGTTCTAATATTCTGCTGACTAAACTTCAGAAGCTGCCGACTGTAATCTAGTTCGTCGAGAAGGGTGAAATTTGAATTTAATCCGCCACCAAGATTATTGCTAGCAGCACGATAATCCGGGAGGAAAATTTTTGAAAAAGGTAAATAACGCCAATGCGTAATTACGATTTGCAGAGATTTAACATTGGGAAAGTCAATCCAATGTCATACCACGTGATCTCGAAGACCCAAAAAAGACTGAGAAAGACTGATTTTTAAAAATAAAAATATAAAATCACTTTAATCTCTTTAATATGGCAATCTAAGTAAGTCCAATTATCGAATATGTTTGAAAACGAAAATCGACCTGTTACGTAATTGGAGTATCCTCAGCGGCAGGTGCGCCGAGTACAAAGGGGATTACGGAAGGACGTGGCAAATCGAAAGGGCTAAACTATCCTTACGGTCCCTTGGAGTTCGGATGGTGCCGTAGGGTTCTTCCTGAAAACCTTAAGGGCGTCAATCCTAATTACTATTGGTTAATGATCGTGCACGGTGACCTTGGTGACCTAATTTCAGAGTTCTTCAGGGACGTACTTGGCACCTGAGCACCCCAGCAATAGGTGAAGTAAACACGGAAAATCCATTTCCAGCACTGTTAACGTTGCAGGATATTACCGTGACAGGGATACATCTTAGCCTGGGGTAAAATTGAATTAAAAAAGTGTATATTCAAATTGAGAACAGCTATAGGTGTCTTTTTCGAAAATTCATTATCGACCTTATATTTTTATATGGTTGACGAGCTAAAGAAACAATTTTAGAAATCGAACAGCGCCTCTGTCGTTTCAAGCAATATTACTGGGAAAATCTTAATGAAAATAAAAACCCATAGTCTAAACAGATATGAAAACCCGCGAATACCTTGACTTTTGCCAAGTAGATACAAAGTAGACGAGATCTGCATCTTTCCAAGCCATGAAATATAAGCGATGGCGAAAGACTAGGAAAAAAATGAAAAATAATTTTCGCTCGACTTAGAAACGGCCCTAAGGGCCTCCACAGCACAGATACCATAAAAAGTCGTTTAAAGGGCTTTAACGGCAATATAAAAACCAACGCTCAGCTGCGCTTACTATACGGAAGAGCAATTTTACTCTGACTGAATTTTATCACAGAATACGCGAAACCTTCCAAGAAAGCTAATGCTAACTTCCTTCCATCATTTTTTCCCCTCCCATTTCTAACACCGGTCCATTCATCCCCCTCGCTGTTTCTTCTTCCTTATCTCAAACTTCTTTTCGAGCAAGTCGGCGAACCGTAAATAATCGTTGCAGATATACCATTCAAGGTAAAAACTTGCTAATTCAAAATAATAATATTACGAATGACACTGATATGCTTGAATAACGTGTGACATAAATAAATTTCATTCCTTAGTAAGTAATTTCCTTACTCCCCAAAAAAAGACAATTTTAAATAACTGTCAAGAAACGTCGAATCGACAATATATTTTCGCGTACAAGTTTTCGGCGTTGAACGTACAAAAAAAAGAAATCCAGGGTAAAACTATGGGTCATGGACGTAATATAAATTCTGTGACGTATATCCATACAGTATTTACTATAACTCCTGGTACGTTCTGCCGACCGAATAAAATGACTGAACCATTGTTTCTTTGACCTCCCCAGAGTTTGCCCGACGCCCAGATGTATAGACACGCAAGAGCATAAAGAAGAAATAGAATGAGAGAAAAAAACGAAGAAAGTATTTCTAACGCCATAACAATAGAGGACAGAAATTCATTATAGAATGCAATACATAACCTAAAAAAGTATCTGTCTCGAGAGGACCATTTCACCTGACCTTACCCCATGAACATTTCATTCTTCCAGCTCGTTTTACCTAAATATCAAAGCTCACCACCATTTTCCTTCTTCCAGCTGAAGAATGGCCCCAAGCTCTCGGAATATTCCTACGACCCCAGGACCGTCTTCGTGGCTCGGTACGTGGATGGAAACCATAGTGGAATCAAGGCATTTGCCCGTTCTGGCTACGCTCGGATGGTACCTAACGCAACGAGGAGCATAAGGATCGATTCACATGTATCAGAGAATGGCTCAGGTCGCGCATACATCCTGCTTCCTGAATTCTCATCTGGTACTGTTACACGTTTAGGATAGGTAGCTGTATTTACCCAGTAAAGGGGTTGCGTACTCTGCAGAGCAGACAACATCAAGATGGGAACCTGCATAGCATTAAGGGTAGGTTAACAGTTGCAAGAATTACAGTGTTGCCATATCGGAAGGTAAATGGGGGTAAATTAGAGCTGGATAATAGATGGGGTTGGAATTATTATTATTACCATCCCTTTAAGACTCTAAAGATTACAATGTACTTAACAGGATGCGTTAAGCCTAACTTTCAACCCTCGACGTACTCTTCGTTCATCCCTCTGTGAATGGGATGGCATTTATTGCAACAAGGATTCTCGGAGGGAACGGATAATGCAGGAAGCTGAATTGTTGGACGCTGGAGTGGTGCAAGGGTTGTATGGCTAGAATGTTTGGATCGCTGATCATACCTACCCCTAATGAGTGCTAATTGACGGCTGCTGATTTTCTGGCAAAATTACATGGGTCTGTATGTCAGGGTTGCAGTAGTCAACTCTGAACGGAAACGCATGGGTATTCTGTATGTGTAGTGGGGGATCATCATTTTCATTAACATGCAATGCTCCTGGCAGGCACGTGATTCAGTGCAGGATGCGCTATAGGGGTGTATTCGTTAGCAACAGTCAGGAAGTCCTTCTGGGTATATACGTAGTCTACGGTGGATGCTGTTTAAAATTGAGGGAGGAAATTTGATGAAGGAAACAAATTTTGTTAATTGGGAATGCTATCGATGACTATAATTATTAGTTAGAAATGGAAATTTATAATATCCAAGTGTCAAAGTGGCAGAAATATGATCCAGTGGATATGAAGATGGTGCCGAAAATATCATCCGTAACGGCAAAGGAGAGAGAATTTTTATTCAGAGGCAGTTAAGGGAACCGGAAGCAGAAGTTCTAACCTGTAGGAATAAAATATGGTCGGGAGTGTGTTGGGATTCTTTAGGTATATTTTTTGCATAGATGACGCAAGGGATGAAAGTGACCCTCGGAAAGGGAGATATGACGCCCTTAAAATGTTTAGCCAAGCTTTCCGACCTGCGGACGAAACATGAAAAAGCTGGCAAAGGAAATTGAGGGAAATGGGGGAAAAGGGTGGCGCACGTGGGTTTTGCTTGGCTATAATGAAAAATTGGAGCACGTGCAAGGTCGGTAGGTGACAAGGGTATCGCAGATTTTATAACCGAGTGTGAATACGTATGTACCTAACGCAGCCATATATGTCTGTACCACGTATGCATACGTATAGTCGGCGGATAAAATGTGAGGTGGGACGAGTATCCGTTCTGAAAAGTTTCGCGAGAAAGTTTTGAAAAAAAACCGAGGCAAATATACCGCGACAAGCTACGAATATCAAATTTACAAAGCGTGACTAAGAGTCGAATTTGGAGAGTGCCATTGAACATTTTAGCTACTGATGCTTGGGGATAGGAGAAGAAACCGGAGTTCGAGAGGAGCGATCGAAGCAGCTTTACGTTTCTGATCATGGTAAATTCTAAAAAAAAAAGAATTTGACCCTTTGAATAAAGAACTTTCGAGGGTGAATGGTCTCGATGAAAAAGGAAAAAAATAAATAAATTCCCTGTTCAATTGAGAACCTCTATTAATGTAGGAGAGATTAGGGCGGTTGAATTTGTAAGCATCGCATCTAAGAAGGCCATTGTGGCCACAGGGTAACCCATCTCATGCGTATAACCCAACCTATCAACCATGCCAGGGGCTTCCTCCTCTCTACACGCAGGTATAACCATTTGCCGCAACTCCCTCTATTCCACTTCCACCCCTTTCATTAAAATGAAAAATAGTCAATGGCTCCTGGAATTTTTTTGAGGAAATTCAAAAACCGGGAAAATGGTCTGTATCACGCAGCGGATGAATTCTCAATCTCTAAGAAGTACCACTCTCAGCCTGTTTATCGCAGTAGTTTAATAGCTTTAATTCCTGTTTCGTCCGAGAGAATCCTCGAATTTCACCCATGAAATTTCGATTAAACACCAAAGAGATCGACACGGGAAATTCGAAGTTTTCGCAAGCTCGCTCTCGGGTCGCGTACAATAATGGAGTGACCTGAGTGCGGAAGAAAGGTAAAGCACGGCGTTATGGAAATAGCGTGTTAACGTAGAAAGTGGAACGCCCACTCAGGTATACAGTATCAAATGCCATGAAGTGAAAAGTAAATGCGAAAATTCTGCTAATTAAAAAATCCCACGAGAATTAATGAGGGTAGACCGGCGGCTTGTAAGGGTTCATTCAAACCGAATGTACGTTTCGCGTCGGCTGATAATACAAAGGGGTGGGAAAAAAAATTGTGGGTACGGCCTTAGGA